AGCTCGTTGTTTCGCCTTATCGCGTCGTTCGTCTTGATTTTCCGTCTTTCGTCCTAGCAGGTAACTTCTCTTTCCACTTCCCCATTTATGGAAGGCTTGCCACTCCGTAGTACTACTCAGCTGTTCATGGGAGGGTAGGCCCTACCCATTCCCACATATACACGTATGTATTAGATGCTTGATATTTATGGAGAGACGTGCAATGTGCGATTATTTCTATAAGCAATTTAAGTTTCCAATTGCCGTTTGATTGTTCAGTGAAAATCATTTCGAATTTCGTGTTGTTTTTTTCCCCCAGCCCACTCACCCTCCCTTCCCACCACCCACACCCTCCCTTTCTCCAGCAACCACTACTCCCTCCTCTGCATCTGCATCTGCATCTCCATTACCACCCCAGCCCACCCTGGTCCGTGTCCGGGCTGTCCCATTCTGGTGCTCTCCTGGTCCTTTTCTGCCTCTGATCCTGAGTGGCGGGCGCGAAAAAATTGCTTGCGATTTTTATCATTTTAAATGGAGGAACAACAACGAACAAGAATGGAGAATGAAGGATGAAGGATGGGAGCAGAGAGCAGAGGGACAAAAAGTGTGTTTAAAAAATGGGCTGGAGGCTGCTGGCTGGTGGGTGGTGGGGGTAGGGTGAGGCTGGGGGGCGGCGCAGTCAAGTGGCGAGCATTTAATGCCCGTTTTGTGGTTGTTGTGATCTCAAATGCGGATTTGCATTATAATTTATTGCATTCCTTGCATACGCTTTGTACCCTGTACCCCGTACCCTGGACCCCTCCGTTTCCTTCTTCGCACTTTTAGCTTTGGCTAATTTCGATGGCAGCCAGCCGATAAGCGGAACATTTTTCTTTAAATGAGTTTCTCCCCCCTCCCACTCCCCTTGGCGTAAGATTTTCTCACCATTTTCCCCTTTTTGTTGCCAACAGAAAAAAAGGCGTTGAAAATCCTTTGATAAATCTTTGACGCCAGCAAACATTTATAAATTATTAATTTTGTTGTGTGTTCCCCCCGCCAGCACCTTCTGCTGCTGCTCCTCAGGTGGGTGGTGCTGGGGTGGGTGCTGTGGATTAGTGGGGGTTTATTCATACATATGTGGCTTAGTTTCTTCTCTCGACCAACTGCTGCTGCTGCTCCTGCTGCTGCTGCTGAATGGGGAGCCAACAACAAAGAACACACGAAAAGGCAGCGGCTTAAATTGTCTCGTATTTTTATTAGCCCAAAAGCCGTGGCACTCCTCCCGCCACTGCCACTGCCATTGCTCCTGCTCCTGCTCCTGCTGGTATCTGCAACTCGAAAGGGTGCTGGCTGCAGGTGCTGGGTGCTGGGTGCTGGCTGCTGGCTGCTGGATTCCTGGGTGCTGAAACACGTAGCTTATTAGCAGCTTCGGCAAAACTTTCATCAGGCAGAACGTTCCAAGGCCATAAACATGAGTTTTCAATGGGGAAAAGCCAGCAATAAGTGCTCCTGGCCATGGGCAAAACGGTGTCTGAGCTGGGGGAAAGTGAAGCAGCAGACTATACTGCAGATACACAGCTATAGAAGGTTCCACCGATAGAGCATTGAGTATCTGCTGCATACGGATGCAGAAAGAGTTTGCACAGTTCCCACAGTACATTCGGATATTTTATCCGAGTAGATCCAATGCCTTATCCTTCTCCACTCTACTGTCGAGGCTTCTGCCATCACGGATCCATCGCCTCATAGGCAGCTGCAATCGACTGCAATAATAATTATACACCGCCTAGTGGCCGGGTATCGGTAAGGGAAGTCTCTGCTGAGCGAAGTCTCTGCCTGGTGGTCTCTGCTCCACAAAATCCTCAATTATCCTGCAGCCTGAAGTGTCTGAACTGCCAGACAGCAATGTCTGTCAGTCTGTAACCTGTCTTTTCATTGGCAAATTAATGGTAATTAAATTTGGGCACTTGATTTTATTCACGGCATTCACGTGCAGATTTAATGCTCGATCGAATATCATTTCTGTTTTCCTTCGATTGCCAAGTGATTATGAATATTCTTGTGCAGAAATATACACCCCCCCCCCCCGACACATCTAACTCTGCGTGCCAACGGCTGGCAGTGTCCAACAGAGAGGGAAATGCCCCTCGAAGAGGGAAGCATAATCGAGTCTGTAATTATTAAAATTGGCGTGGAATCCAATACTTCGATGGCTGCCACCTGTAGGCAGTCTCCCCCCGCTCCAGCTGCAGCTCCAGTGGGGGGAGCTCCTGGGTGGCTCTTTGGTGGTTCCACTCCACTGGCAATCTGCGGTTGATTTGGTTTACGAGCTGGCAACGGGAAATTGTTTAATTATTTAGTAACCTGATGCTTAAAAGCTTAACAAGCAGCCAGGACAGACCAGCCAGCCAGCCAGCCAGCCAGCCAGCCAGCCAGCCATCTATGCTAATGAGGATGGCGAAAGGGAATAATGGGAGCAATGGCAATGGCAATGGCAATAATGAAAGTTGGAGTAGAAAATGTATCAGAGGAGGAGGAGGAGCAGTGGATGAAGTGTAGCCTAGCGACCAGAGACTGCCACAGAGAGGGAGAGACAGAGGGAGAGAGATGGAGGCGGTAATGTAACTTGCGGCCAGAAATGTTTTGCTGACCACAGCCATCCCCCCACCCCCCACACCCCCCCTGCCTTCCTAACGTTCAGGGAAAGTGTCAATAAATGCGGCAGTGAAGGAGGCTCCGCCCCGGCCGAGAGCCACAGCCAGCTGTGTCCTTAGCCCGGCCAAACAATAAAATATTCAAAGTTTATAATGTAAATTAACCCAAAAGTTGTCCTGTCTGAGGTCCTCGCTGTGAGGCCGTCGCTGGCTGCCGTTGGCCTCCATGAATACACAATACACATGTCCCTGGCCGGGCCCAACGATTGGCCGGGCGGCAACGGTGAGTGCAAGGGTTAGGGGTCTCTGGGAATCCCCTAGATTCGGCTCTCCGCTCTGCTCTTGGCTGGCATAAATTCTCATATATTCCCCACAGCCTACAGCCCACAGCCTACAGCCCACAGCCCAGCCTACAGCCCACAGCCTGTGGGCTTGGGCTAATCAAATTTTATTGGCCAACTTGTCGAGACGAGAGCTCTGAGCAGACAGTCCACAGTCCAGGATGCTCGCGACATCCCATCCCATCCCATCCCATCCTCTTGCAGCACCAGAGAGGAGTAGAAGCTTTAAGATTGAACGCAGTGATCGCAGGTGGTCAGTGGTAGCTCTCTCGAGTCTCTCCCGCGTCTCTCTCTCTCTCCCTGCTAGCACTCCATCCACTACTTAACTAGCCGCTTATTCACCAAAGCCCAGCAGCCCCAAGCCCCAAGCTCCAAGCTCCAGGCCTGGAATGATGAATGCCCGACAAACTGGGGGCAAAAAGAGAAGGATGTGGATGTGGATGTGGAAGTGGTCACATGCCAAAGCGTGCTCAAATGTTTTTGGGACATTCCCCCTCCCTACCAGTCTCCTCCTGCCCCCAGCACACACACACACACACACACACCACAGAATGTCATCTTTCATTAGATTAACGATTGTTCCAGGGAGACAGTGAGCAGAGAGCAGAGAGGGAGACAAAGAGAGACTGAGACTGAGACTGGTGGAACAGCTTCCCCGAAATCAAATCTTGAACAATCTGTTCTGCCAAATGCCTCAACACACACACATTGAGTGTGTGGGGGGGGGACATACCCGAACATGGTACGGGGGGGGAGCGACTCTGGCATATGGCGACACTCAGCCGGCTCTCGGACAAAAGACAAAAAAGTGTCAAATGCGTGAGGACCCGGTCGGAGGAGAGCTGCCTGCTGCCTGCTGCCTGCTGGCTGCTGGTTAGGGGGGTGGTCGGGGCTATGTCTATGGGCTATAGGCGCGCTTGGTCTCGGTCTCAGTCTCGGTGGAGGAGCAGCAGCAGGAGCCGCAGCACAGGACCAGGACCAGGACCAGGACCAGGACCATACCGGACAGGGCCATATCACAGGAGGAGGGGATGGACAGCCCGACGAGCGACGAGCGACCTGTCAACTTGATCCTGACAAAGTATTTGCGGCTTGCCAGTCATTTTTTGTGCGGCGCCCACAGATTGCGGGCTCTGACAGAGGAACGGCAGAGGGGGAGTGGTGAGGGGGGGGGACTGTGTGTGTGTGTGGTTTACAGATGCGGTGGGGGAGGGGGAGGAGAGTGCTGGCCATTGGGTGAGTGGGGTGTGGGGTGTGTGGTGTGGGGGGTGGGGGGTGGGGGAAAGTTGAAGAGTCAGCAGATATAAAAGCAAATGAGGCCTGAGCCTAATTCAAATTAATATGTTTACATGGGCTGGGGCTGGGGCTGGGGCTGGTGGAGGGGGCTGGCTCGACTCGACTCGACTCGACTCTTATGCCGGGGAAACACTCCAGCAACCATCAGCTGTTGTCTTTGTGCTCTCCCCCAGAGCAGGGACTCAATGCCAGAAAATAGTGCAAATAAAATTGCAGAGCCCCAAACAAATACGAGGCGAAAATAGGCCACAAAACCAAAGGGATCGCCTGCTTTGTTGGAGGAGTCTGCACAGGGGATCAAGCCTACGGTGTGCCCATCTACACCCGGCAAAAGATCTGCAGTACCATCGCATGGAGAGGGGGAGGCAGCACAGCCTCTGCACGGCTTTGGATTCGCCGAACCAACAGAAATTATGCAGACAGATGTGGGTGCCGAGGATGCCTTGGATGCGATGCCAACACGAGGAAGAAACTGCCCCAGAAGCGCGGGCAGCACTGGCCACTGCTTCAGCTGAAGTCTTACAAAACTGCATCCATCCAGCCATCTTCTGGCCCATGTGGGAGTGAATCCAAAATGAGCTCTCATCTGCACGCCAGGCCAAGTCTCTGGGCCACTACACTCTTGGGCCTCTTGGGCACAGACAACACTGGCGATGAAGGTCCAAGACTGAAGCCATCAGTCCCTGAAGCACAAGTCACAGATCGCGAAATGCATTCATGCAAGCCCACGAAAAGAAGACTCCATTAACCGTTTGGCTTGACATTGGCGTTTAATTGCCACTTAACATAGAAATTAATGATACAAAAAATAAACACAAAGGAAAACAACAACAAATTAGAATATGTGTAACTTAATTGTAGGGGGGAGGGTGGGGGGCCACCTCTGTGGGGTGTTGTTCGTGGGGCCACTGGTAGGAGGTAGGAGGAGGCGGAGGAGCAGCAGCAGCAGCAGCAGCAGCAGCAGAGGAGTGCCAAGGACTAGTTCCGGCTGGTGGCTGGTGGCTTGTGGCTTGTGGCTTGCGGCTTGTGGCTCTCCCATGGTACGAGTATATACATATATACGTACATATGTATGCATGCACATGGGTGGCACATAAGCGGGATTATGGTGTAAGTTTTGATATGTCGATTACAACTAGCGAGTGGTTCTGGCACACTGAACCAACTGTTGTTCTGGGATCTCTCACTTCCTCCGGCACAGTTCCTCCGTTCCGTTTCACTCTGTTCCATGGCGTACCGTGCCGTTCCCTTCCGTTCCATTCCGCCGTTTCGTGTTACTCCTGCGCCGCATGACGCTTTGCCTGGGGCATGGCCACCTCCAGGGAGCGATCCACATAGGCGAAGTTATCCACCACGCTGGCGGCCAGAGCGCCACCCATCACGAGCAGAGCTCCACTAATGGCAATCTTTGACCACATGCTGAGTCTGTGTGTGTCTGTGTGTGTCTGTGTGTGTGTGAAACGAACAAGTTGAGCAGCGAGAGAGCGAGACGAGACCGAACCTGGGGCCGAGATATTTGCAATATGCGCGGGACGCACGCCCTGCATGGGGCTTTATATAGAAATTGGCAGCGGCAACGGCAACGGGAAATGACTCCAGACGCAGCTCCCGCACCCGCACCCGCACCCGTACCCGTTCGCTTTCCCCCAGAAGCTTTCGCTGTGAGTTCGTTCGCTATGTGCCGCTGGTCACGTCGGCCGACCTTCCTTCGCAGCAGAAGCCACAAAAAGCTTTACCCCCAAAGAACCGACGACCAGTGGCAGTTCGAGTGCCAGTGCCAGTCCCAGTGCCAGTCCCAGTCCCAGTCCCAGTCCAGCACCAGCCCAGTGGTTCTAGCTAAATCCGAACGAGCACACACTCCACATACACACACACACACATACATATGCACATATATAAATACATATGTATGTATATGCACGATAGTAATGCACTTCCTTCACTGCCTCTGCCTCGCCTTCATTATCGATCGTTAGATAAGAATTTTTCGCACTTTGATGGCAAAGAGAGCTTTCGCGTGTTTGCCTGATGTTTACACACATACATATCTACATATGTATGTGTGTGTTTTATTTGTTTATCTGTGTTTGTGTTATTTTTATATAGGCGAATATTCGCAATGTTTCTGTTTGTTCGGTGGTTTTTGTTTATCTCGATCTCTTAATCTGAACACAGGCCCGCCCCACAGGCCCCACAGGCCCCACGGAGTGCGTCACTCTGCCAACAGTTGTGCCACTTCTTCTAGCACTACCCACTTTGGTTTCCCTTTCATTCATGGATATACAAAGATATATGTATTTAGATATTTAGCACAGACCGCACCGCAGGTGGGCGTGGGCCTGCGATCTACAGAGCCCTGCATGTAGACACAAAAAATAATAATAAAAAAATAAAATGTTATCGCTGACTTGCCAAAAATAAACAAAATAAAAAAATAAACCAAACAATGCTAAGTATAATTAACAAAGCAAAACAAAACGAAACGAAACGAAAACTCGTTTGCCGGGCGGGCAGGTGACAGTTGGAGGTGGACAGGGGACAGGGCAGGGGAGGCGTTTTCTAGCTAAAGATTTACAATCCAACGGACGCTCTAATCGCCTAGACATTCCCTTCCTCAATAAACTGTGGAGCCGAGCCGAGCCGAGCTGAGCTGAGCGGAGCGGAGCTGAGTGCAGGCGTCATTAAAGGGGAAATACTCGTCCCGCATGCAGCCCACAAATGGGCGAAAAAGTAATGGCTGGAATGGGATGGGATGGGATGGCATGGCATGGGATGGTGTCATCGTGGTGTCATAACAAAAGGTAAAATATATACAGCAAATACAACTCACTGTCACACTCACACTCACACTCACACTCATGTGTATGAATACTGTTTGTCTATCAAATGAATCATGATATCTGTGGCAGATTAGTGTAAACGAAACGAAACCCCCCCCCCACTCCCCGACTGTTGCATGATTTATTCGGTTGCTGCTTAGGTGATCTGTCAGCTCTTCAACTCTCTGCCAACCCAAGCAGGGGCCAACTCAAACCCAATCCATTCCATTCCATCCCAAAGAGTGCACTTTCATCTCTTTTGAGCACTGCGCATTCATAATGATTCCCCGTGACGGAAAGAAGCACACCAAACCCAGCACATCATCATCATCATCATCATTATCATTATCATTATTATCCAAATTATTATCATCATTATGATTGGGCATGTCTTGTGCATTTGTTGTTTGCTATTTTCACGCAAAACACAACAACTAATAAACTATGCACGAGTATAAATATATTGCTGAGAGCTGAGAGCTGAGAGGGAGCAGCAGCAGCAGCAGCAGCAGCAGCAGAGATACCAACAAATTGCCAGAGGATGGAACGAAACTCTTCCGCTGCCCCTCCCCCTACTGCTCCTCCCCATCCTGCTGCTGGTGCTATTTACGCGCAAAATTAATCGAAGCTCATAAAGCAGCGTAAACAAAGGCACCCACCAAAACAACCCAAGGAGGGAGTGAGTGGGAGGCAGATCGAAGGCAAAGGCAGTGGCATGGAGGGAGGTACGTACACGACATCGTCGCATGCAGATAAACAGACATTAATAATAGAAATATTTGGCCATACAACGGCAGTGGCAGTGGCAGTGGCAGTGGCAACGGTAGTGGCAGTGGCAACGGCAGTGGCACCCACAATCCAAACCCAACTTGCAGGCACAACCCCCCGTCGAAGAACCCATCCAACAGACAAACAGATTGCCATCATTTGTATTCCAGCAGCTGCACTCCAGCAGGGCGAACTACCTACGGAGGATCTCTATGCTATGCTATGGATTGCACATGGCGGATGGGGATGGCGTATGTGGGTATAGGGGTATGGGGTATGGGGAATGGGGTTGCAGGTGCATTCTCGTATGTGCTGTGCTGTGCCGTGCTCTGTGTGTATTGTATTCCGAATCTGTTGAATATGCCATACCCCCAACCAAACCCCGTTCGCACTTGGTCGCAGGCGTTGCCAAGGACAAGGACACGGACAATGACAAGGATAACAACAACAACAACAACAACAACAACAACAAATACAAAGCCCAAGCGGACGGCGTTCCCGATAATCTTAGCGCAGGCAAAGGCAAAGGCGTGAAAGGTTCCCTTGCAGGGCATGTCAGTGGAGCTAATCATATCAATTTCTGTTTCTGTTTCTGCTTCTGCTTCTGTTTCCAGTTCCATTCTTCAATTTAAGCTGAGACGCGTAGCAATTGGGATGAATTAATCTGTTGCCTTCATTCCAACTGCACGACAAAGGAAGCTGCCTCGAAAATAGAACAGCACAGGGATATCCATCCCAATCCCAGTCAATCTCTGGTTCTATCAGAATTTGTGGTGTTATTTTTGTAGAGTTTTTGGCGGCAAAGGTGCCGCCCATCAAGCTGGACCCACACTAACCCTCCAAGGAGGCAATGTCTTGGGTTACTCCGGACTTACACTTCCGAAACGCACTGTGGGGCTGGGGCTGGGGCTGGGGCTGTGTGTCTTTGGTTTTGTTCTGCTGGCAGCACCTTGATGGGTGAGGTGATGGGTGATGGGTGGGTGATGGGTGGGTGACAAGTCCTGTTGGCAGCAGCGAACTCAATCGAGTTCCGTTTGTGCCAATTTTGGTCTAACCCAAGACATTCGCTCTGCATGTGGCAAACAGTGGCACCCCCCCCCCCCAGCCCCCAGGCACCAATCTCAGCTCATCCCCCAAGGGGCGGGAGTAGTCGTAGTCGGAGTCGTATTTGCCTTCAGAGCTTCGTTTGTTCGCTTGCATTTCCTTCCGGCTTCTAGCCCTGGCCCTCCTCCTACGCCGATGGCTATGGGGGGGCAGGGTAGGGGAATTTGGTGTGGAAAAACCTCAAGTAAACAGGCAGCAGGCTAAACCATAGCCTAACCAAACCCAACAACATGGCATACAGCTCCGCTCACCCACCACCCCCTACCAACCCCACCCCACCAACAGCCACTCATCCAACACCATTTTCTTTTCCGCAAATTGAATTCTCGCGCGCGCATTTTCATTTGCCACACTCGCTTTTCCCCATGTGTGTGTTTGTTTGTTAATTTTCGCACAGGAAAACTGCATCAACTGACTGGAAGTGTGGTGGAGTGGGCAGTGGGGAGTGTGGGGCAGCTGCTGCTGCTGCTGCTGCTGCTGCACCGCACTTTTGCCCACTTTTCAAGCTGGCCGCAACAGGAGAGATTCCGTGTGGCAACTTCCACGTGTGCCACGTGCTGTGTGGTGCAGTCAGTCCCCGAAGCAGTACGAACCATACCCCGAAAGCAGATCGATAGACAATCAACTAATGATTGCGTGCTGAAAGTTTGCCAGCACTCTGCTCTGCTCTACTCTGCTCTGCTCTGCTCTGCTCTGCTCTGTCCTGGTTATGGTTGATAATATTTTATTTACAACCCTTTGCAGCCCTGCCGCAACCTGCCGCAACCTGTCGCCCTGCCGCAACCTGCAACCTGCAACCGGCAACCGATTTCTCTTAAATTCTCAATTTCGTTTCGTTTGCCCCAGATTCAGTTGATTGAGGTGTGGTGAGGCAGCAGAGCTCTTGGCTCTGGGTCGAGACATGACCAAGTTATGGCACTCGACTTGAGTCCACTTTCCAGACGAGAGGCAAAGGCAAAAGGCAAAGCCCCTGGGGATGGATCAACCCAGCCAGATCAATAAACTCTCCTCATCCGTAAGCTAAGTCCCTGAATCCCTGACATTGGGTGCGGTCAGTGCTGCTGCTGGGGCCATCTCCAATGCCATTTGCAATGATAATCGCATTTCTTATCCGCTTGCCGCTGCCCACTTGCCGCTGCCCACCAGGCCATGCCACTGTGCTGCACAGTGATTGCGGCTGCAGTAGGCTGCAGTGTTGCGTTTTAATTTATGAGCAAATTTTGCGTATCTAATGCACTCCGCCGCCGCCACTGACCGGCACTTTGTGTGCTTTGTGTGTGTGCACAATTAAATTTTCAATGTAATTTCACGCACAAATGCCTCCAATTGCTGGCCGGATGGGTACGGATGATGATGTTGCATGCCTCCACCCCCCACCGCAACCCAACTAATCCTATCCCTCTCTCTCTGTCTGCTCTGCTCTGCTCTGGTGCATGCTGCGCGCTGCCACTACCTCTGAGTGTATCACATGAAGCGACATAATCATCATAATCGCGTTGACACTACAAGCGAACGCCTGCCTGCCTGCCTGCCTGCCTGTGCAGGGAGCTCCAGAGATAGGCCCATACATACCACAAAGAGACAGAGACACACACAGCCAGAGACACAGACAGAGAGGGTTAAGGGAAAGACAGAGAGAGAGAGAGAGACAAGTGTGTGCGTGTGTGTTGCTTTTGCTTTTATTTCGGTGTAGGAGTACCACTCCCAGCACCGCGATTAGCGATTGCTTATCAATTAACACAGTTCGCCAGCTATCAAAGTGAACAGTCGGTCGGTCCGTCGGTCCGTCGGTCCGTCTGCCCGTCTGTCCCATCGATAAGGCTGTGTGCCAGCCAAGAGTTGATC